CTGCGTAGCATTAATGGTAAATTCAGTCTGGAAAAGCTCTGTTAGCTCGTAGGAAGTAAATAGGGGCTCATCCTAACACGTTTGTTTGTTTTAAGTTACTGCAGGGGATTCCACATGTAGATTTGCTTACCATGAGTGATGTAATTGTGTCAACAATATGATATTTACAGCATCACAGTCATCAACGGTCTTTGACACATAAGTTTGAGACAGAATTAAGTTTTTTTTGTAGTTTTCACCTTCAGTAGCCACAGAGGTTTTGTGTTTGACGGCCCCTGCTGTTGGTCTTCTGGTGGCACCTGTGCCCCGTGCTCCCAGATTATAGACCTATGCTGTTGCAGTTACGTTCTCTTTCTCTCTCCCCACAGAGGCACTCTCTTCGACGATGTGACAGGTTTAGTTTCTCCTTCTTTCTCATTTGCTTAATTTATACATTTTACAACAATTCACACATCAGTCTTACCCTCATGCACACATTACATTACTGACCCTAGTGACGTCTTGTGTTATGCTTACATTTCGGTTCATTTTTGTTAAATAAGCGACTTTTTTAAACGGTGTCTCTCTTCTGTTTGCCATGGTCCAAGAGCCAGGTTGGGTCTTTTCCACAACTTAAGTCTAATTACATGACCACATTAGTTCTGTTATTTAATGGGAATCTTTCTTGTTCACAGGCAGTTTGACAAATGAGAGCAGATCAGAAAACTGTGATAAAAATGGTAATATGTAACATGGATAGTAAGAAAGAACAGACACACAGACACCTCCTTCTACTTTACCCCAAAATCTGTAACACTGCTAACGTTAAGGCTAGCAATGTTACATTTACATTTCGAGTTGGCTTCCGCCAACTCCAAAAACGGTGGGAACTAGTTTTGGCCCATTTTACCAGTTTTGGATATTTTTTACCCTGGCTACAAAAATGCATGCATGCACAAAAGCGCAGAAACACACACCACATACACACATTTAATTCAGTCCTCTACCTCATGCCAAACCCACATCGTCATTTAATCTTTATCTCTACCCATCTCCTCGGTCCTGATTAGACATCTAGCTTTTCAGACCAGGAGTGGAGTGGACAAGATAAGATCTGTTACAATGAAAATCTCCTCTGGTGATCATGATGGTTGTCACTTTAGAGTCTGTGTGTGTGCAGGCATGTGTGTGTGTGTGTGTGTGTGTGTGTAATTGTGTGTGTATGTGCGCACATGATCCCATAACCGTAAGACTGAATGAGTGCATTTGTCCATTTCTGAGTGCATGTTAAACAGATTAACCAGGATCCAACGGTTGGAGATGTATTTGGACTGACACACACATAAACACACAATGATAGAAAGCTGAAACACACACAAATGCAGTGTGTGTGCACCTGTAGGCCTGTGGCACGCTCCAGGCGGGCTGTCTGCCAAACTGAGGCTGTGACACACACACACACACACACACACACACACACACACACACAAACACACACGCACGAACGCACACACACACAGAGCAAAGTTGGCCCTGCTAAGCACTGCAGTCAAAACCAGTATAAGAGAGCAAAGGCATTCCTCACCCCTCTGAGTCTCTGAGTTGTGCTCTCTGCTCTCAGGCCAAATGATTAGAGTGCTCTAATCAGCAGAGGCACTGAAAGGACAGCTATCTCCCCGCATTTCATCTCTCTCTCTTTTCCTTCAGCGACAACCTATCTGCGTGATAGGTATTTTCCTTCAAAAGACAAGTATGGCTAAAGACCTACAGAGATAGAGACAGTGAAGAGGAGGGTGCATGAGACAGAGAAACAGAGATATATGGTGGTATGTCCAGCAGCTTTCAACAGAGAGCATCATTGTCCTGGCAGACTGGGGAGAAACCCACAGGTGTGGCTTCACCCTAGCTGCACCACAGTCGACCACTGTGTGTGTACAAGTGTGTGTGTGTTTGTGAATCTGTGCACAAATGTGCGCACTTGTGTGTCTGTGTAAGTGAGCCAGTGAACTAGTGATTGAGTGAAAGAAGATGACAACGTTTGTCAGTGGGGATAAAAAGGAAGTAGCTGATTCCTTAGTGTTGATTCCCTTAATCCGCTGCAGCTTTAGTTAAAATAAATGTCCCGTAGTCCCTGTAGAATGTGCTGCCAGTAGGACCTGACAGTGTTGTACAGCAGTGGTTCCCAAACAGTGCACTGTGGGGCAAGTCTAGGTGTGCTGTGGGATTTTCTGACAACCATACATTATTATTGCAATATACAAACTATACAAAAATTCTGGATTCTTTTGAAGTTACTGTATCAGCACTATGTATGGAAAAAAAAGTTTCAAATGAATTCTTAAACTATTTTGTTGTGAAATATTTCCTGAGTGACAGTTGTTTATTTGGCAATAGTAAATGTTTACAGAGCGATAAGAGTAATACGTGTTATAGAGGCCATTTAGCATGATATGAATACAGGTATGCCTTGAGATTTTGGGTTCCCCTTTCATGTGCCTTGGGCAAAGTTTGTAAACCAATG